ATATTATAGATAGATACTTTAGTCGAATTAATATAACTCTCAAGAATTATCTTACTCCACAAGTATTAAAAATACAGCATCATCAAATGAATGAATGCTTGTTATACCATGTTGAAAAAATTATGAATTGGAAATTTTTAATTGGCCGTGAGAATCAAATTACTAAAAATCAAGTTCATTATGAACCAATTGAAGTAGCAAATGATATAGAATTTGCTGAGAATAGTTATGAATCTGTTATAACAAACTTAGATTTATTAATTAAATATATTGATCGATTTACTATCCAGGAGGTTTGGCATGTGATGACAATTGAACAAAATAAAGAACATTTCGTGGTAATTTACAAAAATGCTAATCATTTGTGCACCTATATGAATTTTGTAACAAAAGGGCTTGTTTGCTGCCATTTTTTTTTGTAATGCTTAATTTAGATAAGGCTATGTTTTATATTGGTCTTATTCTAGTATAATAGTACAAAGTAACAATGTTAGACCCTCAAGGTGAAACTGCAATTACTATTGCTAGTAAAAAGGATGGTAGTAAGCCCATATATGAGCATTTAATTGAGATGAATTACAGCTTCCTTAATGAGATTCGGCATATACAAGTAATCTTGAAACTGTTAAACAGAATCTAACTCGTCAAGAAAAATATAACCAAGGCTTTGGCTATGCAAAAAAAGCTGTTGAGTTGGCTTTTAAAACTGGTTATAAAAATGAATTAAATAAACTCCTACAAGATTGGATTGAGAAGACAGAAAGAAAGATTCATTACAATTTAAATAAGCTTAACAAGAAGAATTTGCCAAATATAAGCAATTCTTATTTAACTCATACAAAAGGTATATCTAAAAAATATATCAAAAGTGCATTTGAAAACTCTATTTCTAAATATCAGGGTAAAAGTGGAACTTATACTGCTACTAAAAATTTGCAAGATTTGAATTATAGGTAAATAATTTAGTTTGTTGTATTTATTTATTATGATAGTAGCGAGTTTATTCATTATTTATAATAAATAAATTGAATTGTAGAAATAATAATGATAAGCAATTTGAAGAAGCAAACCAGCAAAATGATCATGAGAAGAAAAGTAGTAAATATGTATGCAGTTATTGTAAAGGTGCTCGGCATAATTCTCATACTTGTAAATGTAAAAAATTATAATAGTTGGAAGTGTTAATCTTATACTTTGGGATATATGATGCATGCATACAATTTATCTAACAATAGTATACGTTTTAGTTGTTTTAGTAACAAAGTAAATGCAATATAGCATAAGTTAACCAACAAATAAAAAACACAAAATTGTGCATTTCCTTTTTATCTATCACAGTAAACAATTATAATCTAATACTCTGAATCTATAGTTCATTTGATTAAATGTTTGATCAAACAAGTATTTACTATATAATATTAAAATTTTATTAACGGTAAGAATTAAGATAACATATTTGAAAGAAACTTTATTTAAAACACAAAATTTACTATAATCTAAACTTTAACCCTTGAAGTTTTCAATTAAAAACTAAGATATTAATACAACTATCACTATAATAG